CCCCCCCGGGCTGTCACCCCCCAGCCCGCGACCCCCGCTCGGGCTGTCGCCCCGCAGCCCGCGGTTTCTCCCCGGGCTGTCACCCCCGAGCCCGCGGTCCCCCAGCCCGCCCCGGCTGCCCCCCGGGCCGCAGCCCCTCAGGCGGTTCCCGCCGCCCCCAAGGCTGCAGCCCCCCAGGCCAACTGCTTCCTCCACAAGATCAGCTCCAACTCGTTCACCGTCACCCCCCGGGGGCAGCCCCCCGGCGCCCGCGTCCCCGAGCCCGGAGCTGTCCCCGCGGGCCGCCCCGCGCCGCCCAAGGGGCCGCCAGTGCCATCCGCCAGCCCTTCCCATGCCAGAGCCAACGCCAGGAGGCCAAAGCCAGAGGAGGCCGAGGCGGCCGTGTCGCCCCTGCCCAGTGCCAGTCTGGCCCCCAGTGCCACCGGCGCCACTCAGCCGCTCTCCGCCTCAGCCCCCCGGGCCGGGGGCTCCTTCGAGATCCACCCGGCCCCCAAGCCCGACCTGGCGGCCATCCCAGCCCACGACCTGCAGGCTCAGGCTCTGGCCAAGCTGCGCCTGAATTCACGCAATTCCTTCCTGTTCGTGCCCCGCCGGGAGGGCGGCCCGGCTCGGCCCCCGGCCCACATCGCCCGGCCGGGGCCACCGCCACCGCTCTCGGAGGAGAAGGCAGCGAAGGAGCCCCCGAGGGCTCCCGCCCCGGAGCAGGAGGAGCCCGCCGCTTCCCCGCCGGCTCCTCTGGACCCGCTGGTACCTGTGACTTACATCGATGACATTGTGGAGCCGGACAGTGGGGAGGTTTCTCCCAGGGCCGGCTCGACTGCGAGGACGGGGAGCTTGGATCAGCCCGGAGGAGCTGGCCCTGACCTGGAGATGGAATTCTCCTCCGTGCCCCTCTACAGACCCCACTCTGCCCCCCACCAGAGGGGAGGCAGCACATTCACTGTCGTGCCCAAAAGGAAGCCCGTTGCCTCGGGGCTGCAGACTCTCACTGATGCCAGCGGAAGACCGCAGCGGGAGGAAGAGGATGAGGAGGAGGAGAGCAAAGGAAGGGGCAAAGCCATGGAGAACGCTGATGGGCCCCAGGTGGGGATACCCCATAAAAAGCGCTACCCCTCGGTGAACGAGATCGAAGTGATCGGGGGGTACCTGTCTCTGGAGAGGTCCTGCATGAGCAAGACGGGCTCCCGCCGCAAGAAGGTAATAACTGCCCGGGACACCTCTGTGCTGAACAGCCAGGCTGGACGTGGCTACTTTTGGCCTGTCTGTCCATGAGGCACCGGGTGGGAAGATGAGAAGTGTGTTTGGGAAGATAGGCTTGATCCTTTTGGGAGCCAGAGGCCGCTCTCGGTGAGGGGGCACTGGGTGCTGTTCCACAAAGCAGCTGAGGGTGGGATGTGCCCTGTGATAACTGCAGGGCCTCTCCCACCCCGTCCCCTCTTGGAGATATGATAACAGAAAGTGAAATATTTCAGATATTTAGGAAGTCAGGGTGAGTTGCACGGTTTGAACAGCTGTGGGCTTTCCCTCCAGCTCTGCTCGCTTGTGTCTGCGGGTGCTGGACATGTTGAGCTCCCCGTGGTCACTTGGGCAGCGTGGCATTGGCGTCCTCCCCGCATTAGTGATCTATTGATAGAGGCTCAAGAATTAGGTCTCGATTAGGCAGAAAGAGATCAGCAAGAACTTAACTCCCCTTGATAGGATTATACCACCTGCGTGGTCTGGATGTGCAGCTACAGCTCTGAAGATCCATGAGATGTCGATTGCTCCGAGTGCCTTCGGACTGAATGCCAGATTTTCTCACTGCTTGGGATCTAACTTGGATCCTTGAGAGCCCTACATTGAGAACTAATCTTTGTAGGGCTTGGTGAAAAGCAGCTGGATGTGATAAGAGGAGGAGTGGGTGTGTTGTTGGGCTCTGAAAGCAGCACACTGAGGTGACAGATCCTGACTTCTAAGCTGCAACTTGACATGTTTTCCCATAGCAGGAAGAGTTGTTTGACATTCCCGTTACCTAAATCCAGCTAGATGGCTGATGGACTGAATCCACACGGGTGCCTGAGGCACTGAGCATTATAAGTTGAGGAAATCCTTTGAGCAGGATGCATCTCATTTGAAGGGAGACAGGGAGTGCTGCTTCCCTGGCTTAATGCTGTTAAATTCCTTCCTGAGCACATGCAGCCTGTGTTAATTTGATGGTGACTAATGCAGGGAGCAGGTCTGGACCACGAGCACCTTGAAATCCAGAATAAGCAAATGAGGAGCGATGATTGTTGCTCAGTGCTCCTGAAGTTTTATCTTGTTCTCTACAGGGAAATGCTTGGTCTGACTGGAGTTGTTCTGTTTAAACACCTGCTGGCTTGAACCCATTCCAGCTGTTTTCTTGGCTCTGCTCAGTTCAGTTTGGGGTGTTAAACAGATTTACACCAAATCAGGTGTGTGCTCTAAATGGTGAAAATATCAATACGACATGTTACAGTTATGTGTGCTTTTAGGATGGAGCAGAAGGTACAGAGGGAACCTTGTGGGACAGCCATGCTTGGGTAAGCCCTGCTCCTGATGCAGCCAGGGAGCTGATTCCTCTGAGCAGGGAGTGCTGCAGGGGCACAAAGAACAGAGCCAAACCAATTCAGTGGTGCACATTGGAAGCTATCCTTAACATTACAAAATGAAGGGAGGGAGATGAGGACAAGGACGGTGCAGCGACTGAGTTGTTTTTAAGTTGGTCAAACACCAGAACAGGAACCCCAGAGAAGTCGTGGCATCTCCAACCTTGGAGCTGTCTGAAACTTGCCTGGGGAAAGCCTTGAGCAACTGGCAAGTCAGACCTGCTTAAGGCAGGAGTTGGGACGAGAGACCTCCAGAGGACCTTTCCTAACCAAAAATATCATGATATTGGTTAAGAGCTGTTCTGTCTGTGTTGGATTTGTGTGACATTGGGCACGTCATGGAGCTTCTCTGCCCATGTTCTTATCAGCTTAATGGCATTAACTGTCCCACTGTGCACATGAGGTGCTAAATACTGCAAGGTGCACACACAGCTCTAAACAGCCTTCGGGGGGATGTCCTGCATGAGAACTTGTGTAAACATCTGGGTTTGGAGAGGAGATATGTAACAGACAGTTCCTGCTCTGCCTTTTAATATTGCAGAGCTCAGGAGACTGAAACAAATGGGGACCCTTTGGAAACTAAGATCCAACTTAAGGAGAAGTAGTAGAGACAGAAGTTTCTGGGTGAAATTAAATGTGGTGATGTAGTGGGAGAAACACTCGTTTTTCTTTCAGTTCCCTTCTTGCTCGGAGTGGCAAGTACAGGGTTTGACTCTGCAGACAGTGTTTAGAAGATGCTGATGCTGGAGCAAATGGAAAGATTTCTGTTTACTCTTGACCTAGAGGATGTTTGTGGCTTTTACTCTGGGTAATAAGGCTGAGAGTTGATGCCTGAAAAGGAAGGAGCTCGTATTAGGATGCATTCCTTGGTTTCTTCCCAAGAGATCGCTGTGTGTCGCCAAGGCAACAGGCCAAAAACAAGGGTTCTGTTTTGTAGCTGTGTAGGGGTTTTCAGAAACTAGATTTTGGCCTGAATTGGGCAGAAGCAGAGGGATCCTGTCATCTGAGAGCTCAAACCAAAGCCCCCTTCTCTTTTGGGGTATCAAAATCAAACCTGATGCTGGTTTTAGTGAGCACCTACCTGTGTCTCTTGGGGTGAATGAGCCCACCTTTCCAAACCTTGCCTTGGATTTGCTCAAGGAAGCAGTGTTTAGGGAACCTTTGATGACTTGGAAAATGTCAGTGGTTTGCTGGTGCCCAGCAGGGATCTGGGAGAGATAAAAACCAGGTCTAACACATGCTGATCCACATGCTGTGGATCAGTGGGTGTCTGTATGTACAGCCAGGGCTCATGATTTATTAGGAGGGAGGGAGGGAGGCAGCCCTGGCAGTTGGACCCTCTGTTCTCTGACTTGCAAATGGTGTTTTGCTTGAAATGTGGGAATTCGGCCTCTCTTTTCATCCCCACGTCTGGCCACTGATTGCCTGACTGTAGTAAAGATCCAGCAAAATGGAGCTGAGGAGGTCCACGTCCTCTGGCCCACATCCTGCCTGGCTTTTTGGAGTGGGAGGGTGGCTGGGACAGGCTGGGAGCAGGTTCCAGCACTGCTTTGGGGTGCACAGAGGGAGCTCCAGCACCTGCCCTGGACTGCTGGCAGTCTGCAAGACTTGTGACTTTGCTGTGGCCTGAAGGGATTCTGCTGGTGTGCAAGAAATTTCGGGAAAAACAGCTTTATTGCTCCTTCCAGACCTTCAAATATGTGAAGCAGCTGTTAGTTTTGGAGTTGGAGCTGGGTCTTGGTGAGGGGGAGAGAGATGCTGTTCCTGTGTCAGGATAACCATTTCCCAGCTCTCTTGTGCAACTGGAGCTGCTGTGGTGGGACAGGCAGTGCCCACCCAGGGCTTGAAGGTCAGTGTGGGGCTGTGTGTGATGGGACACAGCAGGATCTGCAGCTGTGCCCATCCTGGAGATCGGGCTGCCTGTGTGGGCAGGGAGCTTTTTGTCCTCCTGTGGGGTTCAGGGGCCCTTGAGGACTCTTCATCTGCTCTTGTGGCTGTTTTGAGGCCTCTCCAAGGTGTGCCAACATTAGTTCAGATAAAGCAGTGGGAGTGTGACTCAGTTTGAGGACTCAGTGACCGTTTCCAGCTCCGAACGGATGTGCTGGGCAGCTGCTGGAGGAGCCTGGCTGAGCTGTCAGCTCCGGTGGGGAGGACAGGATACGAGCACAGGGGTGGAAGGAGACCTACTGACCTTTATTCTAAACCAGGAGTGGGGCAGAGGATGCAGAGCACTGCTGTGACCTCTGCTCAGGGCTCCTGTTTGTTATGGCAGAGAACTAAAAGCATTTCTGCTCCATAGCCCTGGGAGGAAGGGAAGGCTTTGCTGCAGGATGTGGATCTCTGGGATCTCAGAGGATAAAATCTACCTCGGCTGAGCTGAAAAGAGTCAATGGTGGTTTGGTCACCTGCCAGAACAACGCACAATAACACTGTCAGTGAGATAGAAATCTGGGTTTCTGCAGAGCATGTGACTGGCATGTTGGAGCGAGAGCTTGGGAAGGACAGCAAACTGCGGAGCCAGCCGGGCTCCTGAGGAGCAGCCACTGCCTTTAGGCTTCATGCTCTCATCTCCTTGGAGGCTGGACTCTGCTGGGGAGGTCCTGTGGCTGCAGCACTTGCCCTGACTGTGCTCCTTCCACGTGTCTTGTCACTCCTGCGCTTCATCCCGAGTCACAGCATGTTTGTCCTCTCCAGGGAAAGTCACTTCTGGCCAGGCCACCCAAAGTCCTGTGAGTAACAGGACCTGAGAGCCAACACTCAGCAGGTTGTTGGTGATTTTAATGTGTTTTTCCTGTCACAGCTGGTGGTTTGCCATGTGCTGGCAGGCGACCCTCAGCCCTGTGTGAGCAGGGATTACGGGAACAAGGCTGGTGGGATCCAAACAGTTGGGGGTCTGATGCTAAATTGTCTTCAAAGATGTTCAACTGAACTTCAAAACGTTCCAGCTTATGTGGACTTCAGCAGGGTCCATTTCCTAATGTTCTGAGCTGCGTAATGCCTGAATGTAGCTTCCAAATTCCCACTTAAATGTCTGTTAAAAAATTGTTCTTAATATCCCTCAGTTTTCATCATGGGCAGGATTGGGCAGCAGCTTTGTTGGTCTAACCAGCTGAACTTCTTGCTCTGCAGTTCTCCATCATCTCAGCTCTGTTGGGGATGGTCTCCTGTGAGAACCAGGTGTAGGCTCAGGATGCTGGCAGGGATGAACACTTCCAGCTATTGCCCAGACCTGTTTGGAGCAAGTCTGCACAGTGGGGAGTCTAAACATCAGTGTCTGCCTGAAGTATTTTTTTGCAATATATAACACAATTAAATTAACCATAACCCAAGTAAGTTAATGTGGTGGTAGAAGGAAAAATCTCTCTGCAAAAATTCCTTAGATTAATTATGTCATCTCTCTTTTGGAGGGATCAGGGCAGAGATTTGTGTTCTTTAGGTCTGAGAGAGCTGCATTCTTGTTCTGTTTTCTGTCTCTGGCTGTGCTCTGCTGGGGCAGATCCATCTGCCACTTCTAAGGAGGAGCTGTGGCAGTATCTGACATGAATGTATTGCATTTTTGGTAGATGAGGTCAGCAGTGATAAGTCATGCTC